TATTCTTATTAGCCATTCTTTAACAGTTGTGTATATATACATAGGAACACGAATTGTATCAGTAGACTTGTAACAATTCTTTTCATCAATAAACAGTAGCAATTCATGAATTCTCAGAGCATCAAGATGGTATCAGAGCTTCAATGGCTCTGATATCCGCTTCATATTTTTGATTTCTTCTTCATCCTCTTATCCTTTTGTTCATGGCTAATCGAGAACAACTTCCAACCTTCCTCACCAATCCTTCTCATCCATTTTTTTTGCACTCAAATGAAAATCCTCTTCTTTCAACATGATATTACAAGATTTCTGTAACATCCCGAGCGCTGACGAGGACGGGGAGTGATCGCTGGTGCAAAGAGGCACAGACAAGGAGCGGCTCCTGATAGGCTTCCAGCGGGGGGTTACATGCATGAATGAATCGAATCGACACCCGAAAGAGAAAGATTCCAAAGACTGTGCAGGTGTGAGACTACACAGTTTGGGATAGCTTATAAGAATTAGTTGGTACTACCTATACTAACAAGATGCATCTTCTTTTCGGTAGCCCAGAACAGAAGAACTCCATAGTTAGACGTGCTTGACTTGGAGCAATTCTGGGATGGGTGACCTCCTGGGAAGTTTTCCCAGGAAGTGTGCGAGTGAGAAAAAAGCACACTGAAAAGTCTCGTGTTAGTATGTGGGGATAGTCATTGATTCTTGAAGCGGCCGGGCGTTACAATTTCGAAAAAAAAAATGCAAACTTTGAAACAAAAACTTAAGGAGAAAACCTCTACCATGGATTAAAGCAAAAAAAAACATCAATTTTTATGAAAATAATTATAAAGGATACATATACAAATCATATGACCAACAAATATAGAATCCTAGGTGCCATATTTCATTAAGCAAAACTAATTACATGAAAAATCATAAATCAAAGAACTAGATTCACATCCAAACATGCAATTCAACTCAGATACCATTTGTAGGCACAATTGGATCTATGGAAGCGTTTAGACCGTTGCGGTTTGGGATGCAACAGGTCATCATCGTTTACGATTACCTCTTGACGCGCAGACCTTCATAGGACCACCTTGTGTATGATTCCTCGTCACGAACTGATCTCCTCTGCATCATAGAACGAATCCACGAACTGACCTTCTATGCGTCACAGTATGATCAGACCTCACATGTTTTTGGTAAATCTTCCAGATTATCCTCAAGGGGGAAGAGGAAATGTGTAAGAACTCACACCGTTAATTAAGGAAATAAACTAATTAATTAAGAGAAATTAGGAAATAATTTTATAATTGATCCTAATAATTATTATGAGGCTTTAATAATTATTGTAAGTGAGTAATAATGTTGAAAGTCGTTTTTCTGACGAAAAGTGCAGATACCGGTTCTGCTATCCGGTATAAATGCGTACCGATGAAGTATCCTGAAAAATTATAATAAGTGCATGAATATTCCTAGAATATTATATAGGACTAGTAAAACAAGTTTCAGGTCAAAATAATGAGAACAAGTGCCAGAACTGATACTGGCTATGAAAAAGCGCGTATCGAAAAGGTGCTGCGAAAAATAAAATAAAAATATGACAAATCCTAGAAAAATGAGTAGGTTCAGAATCTCAAGTTTGTGATTAAAACGATAAGCGTAGCTATTTTCGTTAATACTGTGTGTTTTAAGTTAAGTGGGCCTATATAAGCTAGTGGCACAATGCCCTACGTCAGAATTCTCATTCCCTTACGTGAGTTTTGGACCCCTTTGGATGCTGACCAGTTCTTCCCTTGCCACCTTCACTCTCCATAGCAAAAGCTCCAAGAAATCATTTTTCCTCCTCTTCCCTTCACCTAAACACTCTAGCTTGTGGGAGTTGGTCTTGTGAGGGTGTGGTGTGTCACATTTCTGAGATTGTAGTCTTTGTGGTGAGGTGGAGTTGCTGACTTTGGTGCTTCCCTCTTGGGTTTGGGCTTGTGTGACCTTGTTCTTGGCTTCTTGAGCTTCAAGAAGACACCTTTTGGCCTAAAGGGCCAAGCTTGTTGACCAAATTTGTGGCCTTTTGAAGTCAGAACCTTGGTGTGTAGTTGGATACCTCTTTTCTGTCTCATTTTCGGAGTTGGGAGCCTTTGAGGTATACCATGATCATATCCTTGTGTTTTTGACGTTTTAAGCTTGTTAAGCAATTAAAAATTGAAACTTGAACCATTTGATAAAATGAATGTGTTTCTGAGTCCCTATCATGCATAAGAACATCTGTTTTTGGAGTTCTTGGACTCCAGATCGAGTTTGGATCATTGGAGGTCAATTATTCCTTTAAAACTCAGTTTTCTGCATTCTGTCGAAGAAGTATTCGAATACTTTTCGGGCAGTATTCGAATACTTCCTGGAAAAAGGCAGTAATCAAATACTTCGCGAGACAGCAGCGACCTAGTTTAGTAAAATTGTGATATCTTGAGCTAAAGAGCTCTAAATTGAGTGAGGTTTGGACCTATGTAAAGATAACACATAGGGATACATCCCTGTAAATTTTCAGATCCATTGAATAAGTGTATTTCTCTAAGTGTATGTTTTAAGTCGAGACCCTATTGCTGAAAATTCAGCTTGTTGTAGGAACTTTGCAAAAATCATAACCGGAGTTATACAACTCCGATTGAGGCATAAAATATGTCGTTGGAAAGCTTGATATGTCTAGTTTAACATAGTAAAATATTAGAGTATTTGGTAAAGAGTTGCAATGGTAATTTTAATCTGGTAGTCGAATACTCCTTGCAGGAGTATGGGAATACTTTTCTGGGAAGAAAAGTATTCGGATACCTTTGAAGAAGTATTCGAATACTGGAAAGTATTCGAATATAGTGAGGTTTGGTATTCGGAGACTGTGGTATTCGGATACTGGGGGGAAAAGTATTCGGATACTTGGTAGTATTCGAATACTTAAATGAAAGTAATCGAATACTTTCTAGAGAGCTGGAGTATTCGAATACTACTCGTGGAGTATTCAAATACTTCCTGCAGAAACAACATGTAATGAGTTAAAATGAGTAAGAAATACTTAATCACTTAATGTAATCTGAGCTATGATTATTGATGATTAATTATGGTATGAACAGATTGTGATTGTGCTGTTTGTGGGCCTTGAGCTTGTGTGGACTCTTGGTTTGGATAGCTAGCTTACAAGGTAAGCTTTCGTGTCCTCGGTTTAGCCATTGTTGGTTCCACCATGTCCCATGGGAGATGGTTTATATGCATGATGTTGTTTTCATGTTTTGATTATTGAAATGTTATGAAACTGTTAAGTGCAAATTCTTATGATATAGATGTGGTGTGTTGCCTATTCGGTAAGCCATGGGGTGATTCTGTAGGCAAATATAGCATAGGCTGATACAGCATGGGCTGGTACTGTGTGGGTAATAGACGTATTTCTGCACTTCTCTAATCACTAGAATATTATTTATACGCATGACATGTTTATCTTATGCATTGCACTTATTTTGGAACTTATATTGAATTACTGCTTTTGAACTTATATTGCACATGTAAGTGAGCTTGGGGTGGAAGATCCTTGAGGACCCTTTGTCTTCCTGAGATTTTTGTTTAGAGATCTCACCCCACGTTTAGGGCACCATTTCAGGTTTAGGTAATGCGGGGGTTGAGACCTCTAGCGGCAGGAGGCCGGAGCTTAGCTGATAGTGTTGTATATATGCTGACATGTTTGGATGTTGGATTATATCTGATGATGATATGCTTTTAGTTTGCTAGTGTTATGTTGCTTTTGTTGAGACTCTACTGATTATGCTGTCTATTTGGTGAGCATGGAGATTGTCCATGCCACGTTGACTTGATTATGTCTTATTTTGGTTTGGAGTTGTAATAATGTATCAGGATATTTTCCGGACTACGTGTTGTAGATCTGTGACTTAGATACTCACAGTTAATCTATGTTATGAGGTTTTTCAGTTAGTTGTCTTTGCAATACATATACCTGCGTTGTTTTTATGAAAATGATTAAGTAATCAACTTGGCTAAGTATAATGACGTCATAATTGAAAAGAAAAAGATATTTCGTAAATTTTTAATTAAGTGTGGCTTAATACGATGACATGTTAACAAACCGGGTTAACACGGGGTGTTACAAAATGTGTGAGCACCTTTTCCAGATCTGAGCTTACCTCTTACAGTTGACTGACCGCAGACTGATGGCTTAAGTGATAGTATATATATAGGTACTAAGAAACCTTAACCCTAAACTCTTTGGGCTCTAGACTTCTTGGACTCTTCTCGTACTCTTATCCCTATTGAACTTAAGTAAAAGAGTACAAATCTAACAAACACTTAAAAGAATATGATTCTTTCTTGGTTTCTTTTGCTTCATTTCTGAGTAGCAGCCAGACTAGAGCATCTTCAACATGGAGTAAGAATAAGGCTTTATGGTATTCCGCATGCATAGGCGTTATGGTATATACAACATGCGTTATGGTCTTCCGCAAAGGGACAATGTTATTTATTTTCATTCCTTTTTAAAAACACAAATACATATATCAACAAAACCGACACATTTGATAGATAGTTGGATTTTTTAAGCATGTTGACAGGCCGTGTGTATGAAAAAAGTTTTGTTGAAAGAGGTTTACCCACTTAATATGATATCTCACCTCGAAAGAATTAGTCTTCGGCTGTCGGCCGAAAAATAGCTTGGAAAACCAAAAAATAAAAAATAAAATAAAATAAAAACACACACAAATACATATATCATACGGGTGAAGGAAGACACATTCTTGGGAAATTAGAATAGGGTCAGTAATCTGTGGCTCAAAATATGAAGTCCAAAGTTACGTCCAAACATCATCTTATCTTATTAGTTTTCCTTCAATATGTTCACCACTCATTCACGTGAATCACCAGCAACCATAATTTTCAAAGGAGGAAAAACAATTTAATTGTACATATATATATATATATATATATATATATATATATATATATATATATATATATATATGCACGCACAAGTAGTTATCCTCCAGATTTAGTTGCAGCCATGGCTACCCACGCAGCTTTAGCTTCTACAAGAATCCCCACAAATAGCAGGCTTCCATCCAAGAGCTCTCACTGTTTCCCAACCCAATGTGTCTCAAAGGTTCAACTCTGTCTATTTCATGCAATTGCATGATGACCATGTACAACTTTATGACATGTCATGCATGGTTTACTTTATCAGCTTATAAGGGTCTTAATTTGCTTTTGCAGAGACTTGAGGAGGTGGAATTCTCTGGTCTAAGATCAAGTTCATGCGTGACCTATGCCAATAACTCTAGAGAATCTTCCTTCTTTGACGTTGTAGCTGCTCAACTCACTCCCAAGGTTAGTTTCTTTCTAGTATCTCATTGGATGGGTCATGATATATATGAGAAAGAATTAACTTACATCGTTTTGTCTAACATTCATTAATTAATTGATTTCACTTGCATCTAATGTTTTAATTTATTAGTCCCTGTACATACATACATGCGATGAGAGTTACTTACAGTGCTATAAAAAAATAAAAAGTTTTACACCTAATTTTGACTATTGATACGGTTCAAGTATCAAATAAATTAAAATTATTAGATATAAATGAGATCAACAATTAAGATTAAGACTGTAACTTACACCGATATAAAATAATATTAATATAAGGGGAGATTATATTTATAAATTTTTTTGTTTACAAACTACACTATGTCTGACCGATAATACATTCTTGAACAGAGTATTACCGGTCAGACATAGTGTAGTTTGCAAAAAAAAAAATTATCAATATAATATATATAACTTGTGAAAGTGACGTGAGACTAACTAATTTTAACCATATAAGCATACATATACGAAGGGTTTAATGTTTATACTGTTAATGTAGATAAATTATCTATATAAATTTTTAAAACGATGTCGTTTTGAGTTGAAAAATTAAAAAATTATAATGAAAAAGACTATTATAATCCTAAAATAAATTATAATTACAAAAATACCTTGATTTTTGTTCCAAAACGACGTCGTTTTTGGCTCAATATAAATAATTTATCTAAATTAATTGTAGAAAAACCGCTACGAAACCATGAAAATACCATAATTAACATGATTTATTCTTTTAAAGGTCTGTAAACCTAGACTTTATATGAAGGAAACAACCCAACAAAAAATTGTTGTTTTTTGTTATCAAAAAAAAAAAAAAAAATTGTTGTTTTTGATAACTGGAATTTGACCCTTGAATTTACAAATTGAACTCAGACAACCGGATCAATTCCTGTGAGGGGAGAAACGGTGGCCAAATTGAAGGTAGCAATCAATGGTTTTGGACGCATTGGTAGAAATTTCCTCCGCTGCTGGCATGGCAGAAAAGACTCACCCCTTGAGGTCATTGTGGTCAACGACAGCGGTGGAGTCAAGAACGTAAGTTTCTGAATTGGCTTTAGCTGAGTTTGTACTTACAAGTACAAACAAATTGTTTTCGGTTTAACTTTTTTGACCGTACTACGCAGGCCTCGCATCTACTGAAATATGATTCTATGCTAGGAACTTTCAAAGCAGATGTAAAAATACTAGATAATGAAACCATAACCGTTGATGGTAAGCCTGTAAAGGTTGTCTCAAACAGGGACCCTCTTAAGCTTCCTTGGGCTGAACTTGGAATTGACATTGTTATCGAGGTAATTCCTTAGTGCTTGCTTACTAATAGTTAAAGGTTCATTTCGTACATAATTCACCAGGGGCAGAGAAAGATACTATCCTTTTATATATATATATATCAGCATCTCTTGTCACTTATATATATAAAGGGGTGTGTACGGTTCGATTCTGTTTTTTATATGGAACTGAATCCTACTAGAAAAGTGGTTTGGTGCTGGTAAATTGAACCAATTTTAAAAAGTGATTCATTCCTTGAACTGATTCGAAAAAAATATTCGGTTCTTAAACTGGTTCGGAAAAATGTAGTGTGATTCGGTTTGGTTTGCATTTCAATTGGTTCATTTAATTTTTACACACTCTTAGAAGTTGAGTATCATTTGGGTCGGTCGATTTGATTTTTATCTCGATTAGTTGAACCGAACAGATTTTGAAAACACGGTTCAATTCTTAAACCAATTCAAAAAAAATATTTACTTCTTAAATTGGTTTGAGAAAATGTGATTCTTTTGGTGCAATTCCAATGGTTTCATGTTTTGTTCGGTTGATTTAACTTTTTTCACACCCCTATATATAATATTGTAAATTGAATGAATGATTTGATGTACAGGGAACAGGGGTCTTTGTGGATGGCCCTGGTGCTGGCAAACACATCCAAGCAGGTGCTAAGAAAGTTATTATCACTGCTCCTGCAAAGGGTGCGGATATTCCAACTTACGTTGTTGGAGTAAATGAAAAGGACTACGGCCATGAAGTCGCTAACATTATAAGGTCTGTGACACTTGCATCTGAGGCAGTGCTTTGTGTTAATTTATTATTTAACTTTGGTCACTCCCTCTACTGTGACATGAAAGTGGTTTAATTTCTTCTTTTTCAATGTGCAGCAATGCTTCTTGCACCACAAACTGTCTTGCTCCCTTCGTGAAGGTCATGGATGAAGAGTTTGGTAAGCAAACACTAACTCACAGAAAGAGTGGCAGTTAAAAATTTAAGAGCAACATTCCAGGCTGAAAGAATTTTGCTTTTGCTCTATATTTCCAGGAATTGTGAAGGGAACCATGACAACCACTCACTCCTACACAGGAGACCAGGTACAATATCACCCACTATTAACCAACTGTATTGTCCATGCTTCAATCCTATTAGTTACAAGAGTCCTTTCTTTTTGGATTGAAGCATTAAAATTAAACTTTTTATCAAAATAGAATGGGATGGCAAGGTTCAAATTGTAGATCACTAATACCATATCATGAATCAACCTCAACTAGTGTTAGGTGAAGACATGTAAATGATTTTATATTACATCCTTCACGCACACTTTTTTCCCTTACAGTGTCAGCCAGACGTTTGTTCGGATTCATCATGAGTTTAACTAACGTCTGGTCAAATATTCCTAATGTTATTTACCAAAACATGTAAAGAATTTTCAACTGAAAATGGTTACAATGTTATAGCAAACATTGTGCTATTGTGCAGAGGCTTTTAGATGCTTCCCACAGGGACTTGAGAAGAGCTAGGGCTGCAGCACTGAACATAGTCCCCACAAGCACAGGAGCAGCTAAAGCCGTGGCTCTAGTGCTTCCACAGCTGAAGGGAAAGCTTAATGGAATCGCTCTGCGTGTGCCTACACCAAATGTTTCAGTTGTTGACCTTGTTGTCAATGTTGAGAAGAAGGGTATTTCAGCTGAAGATGTCAATGCAGCCTTCAGAAGAGCAGCAGAGGGACCATTGAAAGGTGTATTGGACGTGTGTGATGTTCCACTCGTCTCTGTAGACTTCCGTTGCACTGATGTTTCTTCCACCATTGATTCATCCCTCACTATGGTCATGGGAGATGATATGGTGAAAGTTGTTGCTTGGTACGACAATGAATGGGGTTACAGGTTAGACCATTCTTCATATATATTGTTAGTTTAAGGCACGCCAATGTTTTTATTAGATCTCTAACTGTCATTTCATACTTTTAAGTATTAATGTTTCTTATTTTATAGGTGATAATTTTATCTTCTATATACACATAAAAATTTATGAGGTTCATGTTCTTTTTTTCTCTCTTGGTCCCACATGGACCACCACACATTTTTATTCGTGCGTAGGAGATTATAACATCAAAAATATTACAAGTTATAAAAAGTGTGATATTTGTCATAAATCAACTTTTAAATTTAAATTTGACGAAGACACCTTAATGATTTTATTATATCTCTTGGCACAAAAATATAAACCACATAAATGACTCAAGAGTTGGTCTAGTGGCATCTCAGTTAGGAGCAAATATATAGTGATCTGGGACCAATGCACCCCCAGAGAGAGGGGAGGAGAGAGAAGAGAGGAGAGAGAGAAAAAAAGGAGGAGAGAGAGGGGGCCACGAAATTAATTTTCCTCACTTAGACCCTAGAATTTGACATGTCAAAAGAATAATGAGTTCCATTTTGAAAAATTATAACTCCTAAGAAAGTTGAGAAGCACAAACCCAAAATTCGATTAATGAAATCCACTAGGACTTAAGACATCGGTTGACACATAAAAAAAATCATGTGAATGCAGCTTGCTTCTCACTCTTACGTCCTAATAAGTTTGTAAGAGATAGAGCAATCACACATTTAAATTGACATTGAACATCTCAATTAATAGATTAAATTTGCTGCTGTAACAGTTCAATTTTGATGTAGTAGTTCTTGTAATTGGAATATCTAGTCATGAACAATTTGTTCAAACTTGTAATGGATAATGTTATTGATAGTTTCGATATTGGTGATTGCAGCCAAAGAGTTGTGGATTTGGCTCATCTAGTAGCGAGTAAGTGGCCAGGCACGGTTGCTGCGGGAAGTGGAGATCCATTGGAAGAATTCTGTAAGACAAACCCAGCTGATAAGGAATGCAAAGTTTTTGAAGCTTAAAGAAATATACTTCATTTTACAATTGCTGTATTGTATCTATAAGGGGATGAGGCTTTTCATCATTTTTGTAACCAAAAAAAATAAAATATAAATGCAAACGATTTTATTTTGCCTTGTGTTACATCTATGAGAAAGAACAAAATGTTAACCCTTTCGGAGTAAAAGTTTGTCACTTGACAAGGGAAGAAAATTCATCATTTCGAAGAGTGAAACGAATTTGGTATATATTTATTAGTTTTTCTTATTCTCTCTCCTTTTCTAATTTCCTAACTTTATGGAGAAAAAATAAATATAAAAGTTCAACAAATATATATCAAAACAGATTCATTTAATTTATAAAAGGGAAATATAAGAATCATGTTGCAGGAATGGCACTGTTCATTCCTGCAACAAGGATACGGCGTTGTATCCTGATTTTGGTTTGACTTTTTCTTTTTAAGCGTGGGACCCACATTTGATTTGTGTGTGTAGGAAAGTGCTCTTGTCATGTCAAATGACAAAAAGGGAACCCTTTATAAAAACATGTTGAATGAAAAACAATTTTGATTGACAATAATGGCACGGGTTTAAGAGTAACAAAAATTCATAAATATTATGATATTGCATTTCTAAATTAAATTCATTTTTCTTGGTCCATGCTTTCGTTCGTTCATTAAATCTTCCTCCTCTTTATCATCCTCTCTCTGCCTTTCATTAAAGGGGTTTATAAATCTTACATTGCTTGCTGCACTAATTTTTTTTACAGCTGAGACAATAAAAAAGAAAGAAAAGTGAGATGAGAAAAGAGAAAAAAAAATTATGATCCACAAATCTTTATTGCCTCAGCTGCAAAAACAATTTTGGTTCAATAACACAGTATTTATAAATCCCTTCATTAAATTATAAATTGATATTTATACAATAGAAGGTTTATTTTTTTAATAATATATAAAAGGCATTTTCTCTATTTTTTAAATAAACAAAGTATACTTTATTTATTTATTTTGCAAATATAATCCCACTTACCAAATTCTCGTCCCTGACCCAGGAATAAAAAATATTTAGTACTCTCAACCAATAAACCCGGCCCGGCCTGGTTATTGAACCGGTCGAGGTACTGGGTCACTGATTCAACTAGTAGGTCACTAGTTCAACCGCATGATCCGGTAAGTATATGTAAATCTATTATTTATATTAAAAAAATTATAAATATACTTAAATACTTGTAAAAAAATATATCAATTTCAAATATTTTAATATGAAAATAATAAATTACACATCATTGCCCAACAAAAGATCAATCGAACATATAATATTTGTGATACTAGTATTTCAGTTTCAGTAAACGACATCTGCAACTATAAATCAAATCAAAATTCCCTGCATATTGCATAATCAAGATAATATTAGTGTTGTAGTTACATAATCTATGTAAGTTAATAAGCTACAAATCACTCAAATATTTCAAAAGAAAACAAATCATTTGTGTTTGAAAGTAAAAAAAAGACATTAATTTATGAAAATAAATTAGTTTTTTTTATAGACAGACTCGAGTCACCGGTTGAACCGACCGGGTCGCACCGGTTTTATAACATGATCGGTCCAATATGAAAACCGGACCGATTACATGATCGGTTCACCGATTTCCAGGTCAAGCCGGTCCGATTTTTATAACATTGATCTCAACTAGGGGTGTTAATGGGCCGAGTGTAACAGCCCCAAACCCTGTAGCAGGATATTGTCCGCTCTGCCCCGCGCACAAGCACCGTCGAGGTCACGGTTTTACGTTTCGGGTTACCCCAAAAGGCCTCCTACAAGGAAAGGTATCAACACCAATTGGAGAGGGGAACGAAGCATGCCTTATATAAGGGTGTTGATACCTTTCCTTGTAGGAGGCCTTTTGGGGTAACCCGAAACGTAAAACCGTGAGCTCGACGGTGCTTGTGCGCGGGGCAGAGCGGACAATATCCTGCTACAGGGTTTGGGGCTGTTACACTGAGCCGAGCTTTGGTCTTAAAAGGCTAAGCTTGTGTTTAAATGTGTCGGCCTTACCAAGCCTGTTACCTGTTACAAATATAATTATCGGCATGTGGCCTGCTTTATTTACAAAAAATAAAAGCCTGATTTAGCCTGTTAGAAAAAAATAAGACAACAAAAATTTATCCAGACAGAATATACAATCAACAACATTAGTAATTCTATAAATATTCATAAATTCAATGTAAATCCAAACAGCATAATATAGAACAAAATCATTCAAAAAGTATGTTTAACTAATAAAATAGAGGTGAAATAGATTGAGAGGAGAGAGAGCTATTACAAATAGTATAAAAAATATAAATTAAAATAAAAATTAATATACTAGGTCAGCCTGATAGGCTCCAAGGCCGAGCTTTTGAATTGGAGGCCTGAAGCCTTTTTTACTAAACGAGCTTTTTACAAGTTCAAGCCTGGTTCTAACAACCAATATTAGGTATGTAAACTTAGGCTTTTACGAGCAGAGCCAAAGACCCCTGAAAGGTCCCGTTTACGAAAAGAGAGAAAATAAAATAAAATATTATAAATATATACCTTCTGACGTAAAAGACCCCGTGCTCGGTGCTTATGTTAGTACTGAAGATTTGTTCCTGACCCAGACCACCAAACCACAATGGCAAATATATATTGTTTTTTATTTATTTATTTTTATTTATTATTTTCATTCCAATTGAAGAAAAGGAAAGTTGTGCTGTTCTTGTGACTGTGAGTAGCTATATTGTAATATTATGATATTAGAATTAGAAAGAAATCTACCATTTCTTGTTGTGCTGTTCATGCAATCGCCGATCCATTTCTCAGTTTCGCTGCCAATGCAATGTAAGTTTATTCTTTTGTTTCCATTATTGTTATGCATAAGAATCATCAATGAATCTGGATTTGAACTTAAACGGATAGTTATTTCACATTTGATCTGAATTTTTCTTCCTTCATGTTCGCCAAAATTCTCCGCTCTCTTTTTGTTCCTTTTTTTTTTTTTTTTTTTTGCGGTGTCAATCCCATTTTTTCCTTTTGTTCTCAGTATTCTTAATCTAATGTTTATGGAATTTTAAATTCTCTCGATGAAATGTGGAATCATTGTTAACACATAAATACTTTCTTGTCTTGTGGCAAGAAACTGTACTCGCTCAAATCTAATTCCTTGTTTTTCTTTGTATAATCTTTAGATGAATCATACAAGGTCAGAGATGCAAACTGCAACATAGGCAATTAGGCGTAGCCATGCTTGTTCCAAAATTAGTGAGCATAGCAATGTTTTTCTGAAATATTGGAGGCACAAGATTCTCATAGTTTGAGTTTGAGAGTGTCAAAACGTCTTGTGAAGAGTGTGAGCCACAAGATCTGGAATAAGAATAACGAAAGTTCTGGGGATGGGAAAGAAGATGATACAAATAGAATAAAGGGGGTTTCTTTAAGATGCTTAACTCTCTACACTCCAGGAGGGGGTTGCAAGGTAGGTGATGAATTTGGTGACTCTAGCAGTAAAAAGAGGATATCTAGTGCCAGTGAAGAAGGCAAGGGGGATATAAACCTATTTGTGGTCCTGAAGAAACTTCTGTTGATTGCTTCTCCTATGGGGTCAAGGAGAGGTTTTGGAAGAAACACAACAGTACGAATTCTGACCTCGAAGAATCAATAACTAACGGTGGGACTAGAATGCATGTCTTTCTCCCTGATGATATTCTTGAAATATGTCTGGTTCGTCTCCCGCTCACAAGTCTTATGAATGCTCGGCTTGTGTGCAAGAAATGGAGTTCCTTGACTACCACTCCTAGATTCCTTCAAATGAGAAAGGAGGGTAGTTATCAAAATCCATGGTTGTTTCTCTTTGGTGCTGTCAGAGATGGCTTTTGCTCTGGTGAGATACATGCGCTGGACATGTCTATGAATCAATGGCATAGGATAGATGCCAATTTTCTCGAAGGAAGGTTCATGTTCTCTGTTGCAAGTATACAAGATGATATCTTCATTGTTGGAGGATGTTCAAGCTTGACTAATTTCGGGAAGGTGGATAGGAGCTCATTTAAGACACACAAACGGGTGATTATTTTTAGTCCTTTGACAAAATCATGGCGTAAAATGCCATCTATGAAATATGCCAGATCAATTCCTATATTAGGAGTCTCCGAGATCGATTTGGATTTTCGCATAAGTCATGGTCATCAAAGCTGGCAGGATAGACGTTTAACAAGATCAAGGACTGGTGGGGTTTCAGACATCTATGAGGATCCTCATAAGCTTTCAATGAGACGTCATTCCAGGTCTCCTCTCAATGAGAGTGAGGCTTCATCTTTGCCTGGTAGAAGGACGTACAAGTTCATTAAACATAGCAGTGATCATTCGAGTTCAAAGGGCATTAAAAGATTTTTGTTGATAGCTGTAGGAGGTCTGGGATCTTGGGATGAGCATCTGAACTCTGGAGAAATCTATGATTCTTTATCAAATAAATGGACTGAAATCCAGAGATTGCCTTTAGATTTTGGGGTTTCTTGTTCTGGAATTGTTTGTGGCAGGATGTTTTATGTTTACTCTGAGACAGACAAGCTTGCAGCATATGACATAGAACGAGGTTTCTGGATTGCAATTCAAATCACTCCATTCCCACCTCATGTACATGAACACTACCCTAAACTTGTATCTTCTAATGGCCGACTTTTTATGCTTTCAGTTTCCTGGTGTGACGGGGATGGTCAAATTGGGCGGCGAAACAAGGCTGTTAGAAAATTATGGGAGTTTGATCTCGTGTGTCTTACCTGGGCTGAAGTCTCAGTGCATCCTGATGCTCCAATGGACTGGAATGCAGTTTTTGTGGCTGACAAAAATCTGATTTTTGGGGTTGAGATGTTCAAAATATTTGGTCAGGTGTTGGATTTCTTCACTGTGTGTGATGTGTCTAATATGGCTAACTGGAGCCATATTTCTAGGAATCATGTTGCTCGTGAGCTAGATGCTTCTACTTGCTGGACTAAATCTGTGGCGGTGCTACACCTTTGAAAATTCTTTACTCACGTATGATGAACAGCATAATATTAATTCTTCCCGTAAGATGGTTTGTGATACAACATGTCATGACCAGTAAGTCCTGCTTTATATATTCTGCATATAATTGTTCATGGACAAGTCTTCTGCACTGCTGGTTTCAGTGTCAGAGTTGCTCGTGTACCTTCATATTTAATTCATTTCACACCAATCATAAAGCTGAAATCCTTCCGAGTTATTAATCTAGTGGCGACCCAATTAAACCCTAAGATTTGACTAGCTTAAAAGGTAATATGAGAGCCCCAATTTCTGGGGAGAGTAGAAAGACACAAATCCACAATTGAACTAATCGGGCCCATTAGGACTTCGAATGCTAGTTGGTTTCTATCACAAGATTTTTTTTTTTTCCTCCATGACTTTGTTCTTGCTAGCTCTCCACAATATCCATTATCCACTAATATTTAATCTATTTAACGAATTGTTTTTGTAAGTTGAATTCTCACCTGCATGACCTGGCCTTCTTTAACTTACTAATTGCATCCATCAAACTCCTATGAATTTGGAAGGTGAATTCTATATCATTATCAAGTACATTTCATTCCTAAATGCATGGTTACAAATTGTATTGAGTAGTTCAAGAGAGGAGGGGGGGGGGGGGGGGGGGAAACGACAGAATCATGACCAACAAATGAACACCTTGTAAAAGACGGGTAAGTTGTGTACAATACCAACTTGGTGGGCTATATCATCAGTTCGCCATGATCTCTCCACTACCCAAACCGCTGTCATCCTCAAAATTTCGGTTCCTTTTTCAATTAACACATCAAATGTACCTGACTCCCTCTGTCTCACACGGCACCAATACCTCTTGCTTATTATTTACTCCATCATCTAATAAAGTTGACAATGCTGCAAGTGCTGCCTCAACTATAGAGCTACTACCTTAAGCGGAGCCTCTCATCTCAAAGACAAAGATCTCATTAATATTTAATGATTCATATGATTAATAAATTAGAATTGTTAGATATAATTAAATTGTTGGTTCTCATTTATTATATTTTATAAGATTATAATTAAATTTATGCTACTAATCTTGTATTAAAAATATTAATTAGAGATTTTCTTATGAATAATTTTCAAACCTTCTAATTCAAATACATATTAAATATTTATTGATAAATTAAATTTTGTATTACCATAGTATTAAATTTAAACAACTCATACAAATAACTAATTAATTACTTAAAACAATAAAGTTAGCTGTATATTAATAACTAATGTTTATCAAAAAAATAAAATAAAAAAAAACTAATTACATAAAAGCTCGTAGCTCTTTTAGCTTCTGATTTCGCTAGGTTTTGGATGTTTTTTCCTTTCTTTGTTCGTCTTTGGGCTTCGGTCCTTTTCCGTACTAAAAACAAAAAAACCCCTCACGTTGACGCATCTAGTTAAAAAAGAAAAACAGATGCTGACGCAACTTATATCTAAAAACCTTTTTTTTTAATTATAAACTTTTTTAAGTATATAAATATAGGGTTTAATATTTTTCGTGTTATATAATATAAATTTAAATATATATAAAAATGTGTTGGACCATTTAATAATAGTTTCACAAAATTTATAATCCGATAAATATAATAATCAAAATTCACCGTAGAAAAAAAAAAAAAAAAACCTTACCGCGCCTAATCAAATTAACAAACCAGGTTTCCCGCCAAAACATCAGAAGTGTTAGCCACTCTCGTCTTCTGAAATCTGAAGTGGATCGAAAACGAAAAGGAAAAGGAAAAAAAATGGTGTCTGCAACAAACCCTAATCCCAAAAATGTGTATCACATCGGAGGCCTGCAAGTGGAGTTTCCTTACCAACCGTACGGGTCTCAGTTTGCATTCATGGGCAGAGTAATCTCCACCCTTAACAGAGCTCAGAGCGAAGGCCATTGTCACGCGTTGCTTGAATCTCCAACTGGTACTGGCAAGTCCCTTTCGCTTCTTTGTTCCTCTCTCGCTTGGCAGCAACACTATAAATCACAACAACAACAACAACAAAACCTTAAGACCGTTCCCGAAGCAACCACCGATCCTCTCGCTTACGGTGGCGGTTTCGTTCCCGAGGAGTTTTCGCTTTCTTCTGGTAACTAACTAACTAACTGTTTATTCTCGTTCATATTTCCTTCACTTGGTTTCTGTTGTGAGTCATCAACCGAATTATCCTGATTTCAGCATCGGAAAGTTCACAATCAGAGGCCAACAAGAAGAAGCAGAAGAAAAAGACAGCTCCAACTATATATTATGCTTCGTAGGTTTTATAAAATTAAGTTTTTTTTTTCTAATTTTTTTTTTGTTGAATAGGTAATTACTGGCTAAGAAATTGAGATTTTATTATTTAATTGTTGCTTTTGTTTCATACAGTTCATGTGATTAGCATTATTAAATGTTAGATTAGATGGTTTCAGAGTTTCAATGCTTACCTCCTTTATCTTAAAGCATGGGTTTCTTCCCTTAACTGCATTGTTTGTTGTTCTCTTGTATAAGGAGAACGCACTCACAAATTTCTCAAGTGGTTCGTGAATTGCGGAAGACTGCATACAGGGTTCCCATGACTGTGTTGGTAGGTGGAATATATTTGAGCTTTTTTGAATTTGTGGGTTCTCTTAAGTAATTTTCTTTTTCTTTTTATTTTCAACTAATATAGATGAAACTAATGCAAGATATCATATCATTTGGTAGCCTTATGAAGAATGTGATTATTCACCGGTCCTGTAAAATGAAGTACTGATTATCCCTACCTTGAAATTTAAACGTCTTATTTTGTTATTTTACAAACTCCCTATTTAATAATAAGCTGATTATTTTAAAGCATTTATATGTTAATTTTAAAGTATTTGTTGATGAGATATCAATCAATATCGCATTTATATGATAAGATTTCTGATTTGGGAAAGGGTTTTAGTAAAAATGTTATCTATAAGGTTTGTATGCCATCTTTGCATATGCAAAGAGATATACTACTTTGAGTATCATAGTTGTACAGTGATATGGATTTGGCTTTGAGTATTTGTCCCCCTTTTATTTTGCCAGGCATCGCGGAAATATTATTGCACCAATAAAAATATTCGTGGCAAAGAGAATATCGATGAAGAATGGTTGCTTTTACCTAAACAATTTTTCCTTTATGAAAATTTCTTTCTGATCTTCATACTGATATATTTCATGAAATGTTCTCAGTAAACTACTTTTGAAAGATCAAGATGTCGGGTGTCCTGAATTCAAGTAAGTGTATGCTTATCCAAACATGCTTCCTATCTATTTTTGTATCACTCTTCTTGAAGTAACAGAAATCAGAAACTTACAATCTAAGCAGAAATGCTAATAAAGTCAAAGGTCATCCATCCCTTCTGAAAGGAGGATGCAATGAGGTGCATGACATAGAAGATCTCGTAAAAGTTGGACAAGCGGTAAAAGGTTTGATTTTTTGTTGTTGTCTTTTATCTTATTCTTTTGAAGTTTCTGCTAGGCTTTGCGGCTTACAATCCTTATGTTATCTTCAATTTCAGGTTGCTCTTATTATGCTGCTCGTTCTATGTCAGACGATGCGCAGTTGGTATTTTGTCCATATAGCTACATCATTAATCCAGTCATCCGGGGAGCAATGGATGTGGATATTAAAGGAGCAATCGTGATTCTTGATGAAGCTCAGTAAGCTGTTCATTTCTTTCTATTTAATTGCAAAGTCAACAAGATGGTTCTAGGAGACCAGTTAGATTGAACTGGCTTTAATTTATTTTTAAAATTAAATATGGATTCGAGATGTCTTTCACATGCCATCAGTTGCATACAAGCCAATCTAGAGCTGAATGACAAATTTTTAAACTTTGGTAGTAGTGTATGTCTTTTTTTCTCTGTATAACTGACCTTACATGTTTGCACTTCGCAGCAATATAGAGGACATTACTCGTGATGCTGGCAGTTTTGATATTGAAGAGGATGTTTTGGATAGTATGTCATGAACCCTATAGCTTTTGTTTTCTTCCTTAGTAATATTGATGCTAACTAGTTGGTCATACCTTTGAAAGAATTACAAATGGAGCTCCAGCAACTTTGTTCTGAAAAAGCTTCAATTTACCAGCCACTATATGAAATGGCACAGGTAACTTGGTTAGATATTGGGTTTGAAATGTTTGACTTGTAAGTTTATCCTTAGTCCCGGTTTATGTGCTGCATTTGTGCAGGGGCTTACAAGTTGGATGGAACAGAAGAAAAATAAACTAGAAAAACGTGATTTTCAGCACTATGTGTCGTGGTAAGTAAAACGTTATTCATTATTGTTCTGTGAGTACACTTATTCATTTTGTAATTTTATCCCGAGACCCTTTTATAAATCCCAAGTATTATATAAGTTATTGTGCTCTAGATTTGATATAAACATGCTTTGTAGAGAAGAGATTATATAATACAACTGTAAGTTGGTTGGAATTTTGAATAATCTGATTCAATCAAATTAATGTGCTGAGTTATTGGGAGATGGTGACTCTACTGTTGTGTTCTTCCACCATATGATTATTGTTCACACATTTGTTGCTCTTTCTATCCTGTGATGTTACTGTTTACTGTGATCTTGTTGCGTGTTATATCATTTGTACTCTTTTATGGAACGTGCTGTGTTCTTTTTCCCAGGTAAATCTATATTTATTTAATCAGCTTGGGAAATATCTATTAAATTTTTTGTCATGCTCTTGAAGCCACTTCATGTGTTAAGGAATTATTCCCTTTTAATCTTATTTGCTAACTAGGTCATTTCTCCTTGCCTTCTTTCACATGTTCCATTACTATGTGAGAACTGAAGGGTTTCTGGATGCTCTGACTCTATGTACTTCTTGTGGTTAAATTGTTTTCCTCTATTGCAACTGAATTGATATTTTGAAAATTTATTTAACCTATATATCCTCTAGAGCCTCCTGATAAAATAAAGTCATAGCTTGCAAATTATATCCAGGATTTAATAAGCCTTTTTGTATGTACAGTTGGACGGGTGATCAGGCTTTAAGAGAGCTTGAAGTAGCAAATATTTCAAAGCAGTGCTTCCCTATCTTGCTAGAATGTGCTACCATGGTATCTCATTTGTGTGACTTTTTGGATTATTCTTATGTTTGCATGCCATTTATCAACTTGATCATTTGTTCAAGGCAATCAAAGATTCTACAGACTTGGAGACGGACTCACCACGTTTAAGTGGCATGTCAGTGATAACACTTGAAGGTCTGGGGTTGCGGTTTTTAAATATTTGTGGTACTATATTCAGTTATTGACCTACTTTAGAATAATAACAATCTTTATCAATCTCATTTCAGGCTTATTCTCATCACTAACTTATTTCTTCTCAAGAAATGGATCTCACATGTTGGATTACCAGCTTGCTCTTCAGCGATGTATTAAAAAAGGTGCTGGTAAGTAGTTGCAAACAATCAATAATAACTAGCAAAAGCCCTATTGACAATGGTTTTATCCATACATAACTGAATCGAAACTGGTTTGTAAACCTTTTGGGTATATGAATGGATTTTTTGGGGTATGTAATTTCTAATGTAATAGAATCTAAATCAACAAATTGGAAGCATATATGTGGAGACAACATTTTAAAAGATTTGTTTTATCTCAAATATAAAGGATTAAACTGTTTCTAATCTTTGGCCCTTGTAGTGATACAAAAACAGATGGTCTTGAAGTATTACACAAAATCAAAACTTAATTTATTAATAAAGGGAAAAAAGAGACTTGAAATGAGATATAGAACGGTGTAATTAATTATGAAGACAAAATGGACTCTTTTATTGGGCAACCAATAACAGGTTAAATTGATTAATGGCTTCGAAAAAAGTTTTAATAGTTATTAGATATATATCTGCTGTTTCTGCCTGATATATTGCTGCATTATTTATAATACTGTTCATTGGTTCTATGTCAGGAAGAGCTTCTGGAAACTGGACTCACACTTTAAGTTTGTGGTGCCTGAATCCAGCGGTTGTGTTTAGAGATGTTGCTGATCTTTCTTTATCAGTCATCTTGACTTCTGGGTAAGCATAGTGACTCAGCACCCCAGGGCCAAGTTCATACATGTTCAGCACGTTGTTCTTTGTATTTTTTCTCCAGTTCTGAGCACATATATTCAAATGTATTACTGAGTGATGCATGCCTTTTGGTTAGAGATATTAATATAAAATCATTTGTGGGGTTATCATTTACCTACTTAAGTTTTTGGGTTGAATTGAATTTTTACATGATACCAGAGCTTGTGACCGTCCTCTTTTTTCAAATAAAATTAAAAGTAAGTTAAAATTAGCATAAGGTAAACAAAAAAAAAGACTTGTGCATTATCCATGTTTCAAGTCCAATGACTTTTGTGTGTACTAGAGATATTAATATAAAACCATTAATGTGATCATCACTTAGCTTAAGCTTTTGAGTTGATTTGATTTTTTAAACTGTCAAACGGGCCAGTTTCTAGGCATTCCTACAGAAAAGGAGCAGGCTGGCTGGCATCATATAGGCTGGCCTGATCAGCCAGACTGATAACAGGCAAGTTAGGTTCAGGTCACATAAACCCGGTTTCATATAAACAAATGATATGTCCAGGCATGTTTTTGACAGATGCTGGCTGGCAGAATTAACCAGCTTTTCCATACTAATTTTCTTAAAAGCATCTCTGTAGGAATACATGTCCTGTATTCCAGTTATTGTATTGATGTCTCAAACATTATGTTAAAATCTCCCAAATTAGCATAAATATCTTATTTGAAAAACTTTTGCCCTTCAATAAATAAAAGACACCTTTTTCTTGTTTTGAGCATGCATTATGTGCAAATGTATGTTTGAGTGCGGAAGTAACCTGTTCACTGTTGTGTTCTGTAAAAACACATCTGTTGGAATACAGTTCCAGTGAGGCATTCCTACCTCAAAGGTGCAGTCTGATATTTGTATTCTTTTATTGCTAAAACACCCCAACATATGAGGGCCAAAAATTGAAGAGATTTGAGTTCAGTTCTCACTGCATCTCTGCTTCCTAGCATCCTCGCTGTACCACTTAATGTATTAATTTGGGTATTATAGGACACTGTCACCAATGGCCTCCTTTTCTTCCGAGCTTGGAGTTCAGTTTGAAACTAGTCTTGAAGCTCCACATGTAATTGATGTGGACTCTCAGGTCTGAGCTACTTCTCTCTCATACTTAAAGTTCATTAATCCTTTTAGTTCTGTAAGTGCCTGTTCAACAAATTATAACCTCTTGAATACAGGCTTGGCCTGCTATAATCTCCACTGGTCCTGGTAATTATCCTTTAAATGCAAGTTTTAAAACAGCAGATGGATTTGAATTCCAGGTGTGCTTGCTCAACATATATTTTTCATTCTTTTTGTACTATTATTGCCTCCATGAATACATCTGTTTATTTAAGTTATGGCTTAGGATGAAGTTGGAAGATCCTTAGAGGAAATCTTCAAGATTGTTCCAGGTGGATGTCTTGTGTTTTTTCCAAGCTACAAATTGATGGAAAAATTATGCAGCCGTTGGTCTGAAACAGGTCAATGGTCTCGACTAAATGCAGAAAAGTCCATTTTTGTTGGTGAGTTATCCTTATCGTTTTCCAAATACTCTTTGTAATTATGGAATAGGTTTAAGATCTGAATTTCTTTTGATTTATTTGTTTTTTCTTTTCCTCATCCTTTTTCATGCAATCATTAAAGTTGAGAAGACTTTACTTTTGTATTAATATCCAAATTCCAAAGTTGATCTTATTGTCCTGGCAATGTTTTTTGGCTGCCCTAAAAATCTGTATTATGTTGGTGCTTGGTATGCAGAACCAAGAGGAGGAAGCCAAGATGATTTTGAACTTGCATTAAAGGGGTATTATGACTCAATTCGTCATGGCAAAAGACCTGCCTCAGGAAGGAAAAGAAGGATTAAGAAAAGTGATCAAAATCCTTTCCTCGCAGTTGATTCTCTACAGAATTCTAAGAAAGGAGGAGCTGCTTTACTTGGCGTTTGTCGAGGAAAGGTGCATCACAATTTTACTTATCTCATATTTATTATTTTGGATTCTGCTTTTATTAGGCAAAAATTATGTAATAGAAATTCGATTTTTGCTATATTTAAGTAGTGATAAGACTAGATCAGAGAATTAATAATAAAGAACAAATACAAACAATTTGGCCCAACGAAATGGAATTTTCTGTATTAATATGAAAAAGAGAAGTACAATGACAGTCTAACAGCAAATGGTAATCCCAAAGTAAATGACAGATTGTAGAAAACATAAAACTGATGTTGAGATATATAAAATCATTAATGTAGCCTTACCCAATAGCTTAAGTTTTTGGGTTGAATTGGTTCCTTACAACTGATACAAAGATGACGAAATAAAAGGGACTTCACTCTGACCACCCTGCACCTCAATGATACAGGTTCAGTACTTTAGAGAGGTATTGATTCTCTCCTAATTCCAGTCTTATTTCCAGCCTTCTTCCTTCCCCTTTTCCATTTCCCATTTAACTAACCTGCGCTGGCCCCACTTGCCACCTTAGCAAATGCCAACCTCTCTCCTCTAACAAAATCCTTAGGTGAAGTCACACCTGAAATGTGCCCATCTGAGTCACCATTGAGAATTATTCCCCTGTGACGCTTCCTAACATACTGTTTCAAGGGAATCTTATCAATACTCCCCCCTAGAACTTTCACCTTGTCCTTAAGGTGAAATAAAGGAAATTGTGCATTGAGTTGGGCAGAAATCTCCAAGAGTTTTCGAAGGTAAGTGCAACCACTTGATTAGCACTTCAATTTGCCCAACAGGAGATTTTCTCCACTGCAGGACAGCTTCAGGTTCCACCGTTAGTTCCCACTCTTCAGCTAGCATTGGGGGTAAAGGTTGCACATTTGTAGAAGAAGCTAATGCTTTTTTCAATAGCGACACATGGAAAACGGGATGGACCTTCATTCAGGGGGTAGAGCTAGCTTGTATGTAGCAGCCCCCACTTTAGATAATACCTCATATGGACCATAGAATCTTGGACTTAATTTCTCATTCAACTTCCGAGCAAGAGTGTGCAACCTGTATTGTTGTAATTTCAAGTAAACTAAGTCACCTACCTCAAAAAAAATCCCTTTTGTGCTGGTCAACTTAGGTCTTCATACGATTTTGGGCAGTTGACAGATTGTGCTGCAACTCTTGTAAGATAGAGTCACGATCCTGGAGCAGAGAGGAAACCTCATTCAAAGGGGAAATAACAAAACTGTAGCGGATTAAGGTTGGTGGATCACAGCCATACAATACCTTGAAGGTAGTTGTGCCCGTAGAACTTTTATAGGTAGAATTATACCAGAACTCAGCCCAATGTAACCAAGTTGCCAAGTCCTTGGCTTAGGACTGCAAAAACAACAAAGATATGTCTTCAAGCAGTGATTTACCACCTCAGTCTGCTTGTTTGATTGAGGGTGATAAGCTGTAGAGTAACGTAGCTTAGTGCCGCTGCATTTAAACAACTCAGACCAGAAAGAACTAAGAAATACTCGATCCCGGTCACTAACAATGGAAGATGGGAATCCATGTAACCGAACAATTTCCTTAATGAACAGCAATGCTACCTCTTTAGCCGTATGTGTATGAGCTAAGGGAAGGAAATAAGCATATTTGGACAGCTTGTCTACCATAACTAGAATAGTATCAACCCCATGAGCTTTAGGTAAGCCCCCGACCCAAACCTGAAAAGGGATTGGTAGTGGCTGTAAAAGACCCCCAGGAGATAAAGTATGAGTCTTGCTGTGCTGGCAAACTAAACAAGAGGCCATATAGTCACGAATAGTTTTCTTCATTCCTTCCCAATACATCAGTCTCGTCACCCTTTTATAAGTCCTCAAGAAACCCAAATGTCCACCAATGCACGAATCATGTCACTCATTCAGAATTAAAGGAATATATTTAGATGTTTTTGCTAACACTAATGTGCCTTTGAAAAATAAACGACCTCCTTGCAACAAAAACCCAGTATGTGCCTGCGGCTCTATTAATAGATCTTGAATTATTGTTTTTAATCGCGAATCCGCTTGTAACTCAGCTCCAACATCTTCGTATGGCAGTGGCTCTAGAGAAGATAAAGAGTACAGAGTCAAGGTTTGGGACAAGGTATCAACCACCACGTTCTCACGTCCTGGAGTATACTGAATCTCAAAATCATAGCCCAACAATTTAGTAATCCACCTTTACTGCTCTTCTCCTAACATTGTTTTCCCTCACACCATCAGAAGAAATTATGTGTCCCAAATATTCAATGTGTTTTTGCCCAAAGTTGCACTTTTTTTTTGTTGGCAAACAAACTGTTCTGGCGAAGTGCCTCAAAAACTAATTTCAGATGCTCCACATGTGAACCCTTGCAGCTACTGTATATGAGTATATCGTCAAAAAAAACCAGCACGAATTTGCGAAGGTATGGCTTCAGAATCTCATTCATAAGGGATTGAAAAGTGGATGGAGCATTGGTGAGCCCAAATGGCATCACCAAATACTCAGTGGGCCCTCATGAGTTCTGAAAGCCATTTTATGGATATCTTCTTCCCGCATTCGAATCTGGTGTTAACCAAACTTCAAATCCAGCTTTGAAAAAATTTGTGAACCCCCTAACTCATCCAAGAGCTCCTCAATAACAGGGATGGGGAATTTATCGGGAACTATTATTTAGAGCCTGGTAATCCACACATACTCTCTAGCTTCCATCTTTTTTCCTAACTAATATAAAAGGACTCGAGTACGTGCTAACACTGGGTCTAATCATCCCAGAATTCAACAACTCAGAGACTAGCTCCTCAATCAAAGTCTTTTGATAGTAAGGGTACCTGTATGGTCTGACATTTGGCACCTCACTACTAGGCTTGAGGGTAATCGCGTGGTCATGCCTTCTACTGGGAGCTAGGTCCTTCGGTGTGCAAAAAATATCATCATAGTCCGCCAATAATTGTTCCAATTCTGGCCAAGTAAACGTTGTTGTCATACCCAGTTCATTATCTCCACGAGACTCCACTAAATACCCCTGTCCTTCCCCCGAGAGTGCCTTGATTGTAGATCGAAATGATGCTAGCGTTTTTGTCTGTGATAAGGAACGATCTCCCCTCCAGAGCACTTCGTCGGAGCCCACCAGGACTTTTAAGGTTAGCTTGTTAAAGTCAGCCCTTATTTCTCATAAGCTTTTCAGCCAATCCAAACTCAAAATCACCTCAACTCCTCCCAAATAAAAAATGTAAAGGTCTTGACAGCATTCCATCCCCTGTATTTGGATTTTTACCTGTCTACAAACCCCCTGACAGCTGACACGATAACCATCTCCAATTGCAACTTTGTATGTGTGGGAGTCTCTTCAACCTCCAATTGGAGTTTTTTTGCCATCAAATGACTGATGAAGTTACGCGAAGCCCCACTGTCTACCATCATTACGATTTTAACTCCAGTAATACTCCCCCACAATTTCATGGTTTGGCTTGAAGAGAGCCCCATGATACTATACATTGACAGCTATAGCACTTCTGTGTCCTTACACGCGTCATGTTGGTCATTTTCGTCATAATCCTCTGTTTGCTCCTCGTCTTCATCCACCAAGAAAAGTTGCAATTGTCTAACCTTTCCCCATTTCTCTTCGCACTTAAAACATACCCCGCGGCACATCCTATCCTGTAACTCTGACTGAGAAAGCATTCGCCCTTTATGTTTTCCACTTCCGGATGCTCCATTCTCACCCATCTTTGAATGATTAGGGTTCCCAATTTGATTCACGCTCATAGTGGTTGCGGGTTGTGTTTCACTCCCATTGCTAGCATGTGTGGGCTTGTTTTCGCTTCCAGATATGCCCAACTCGGATAAGTGCGTCTCGTGCCTTCCACTTGATTCCTATTGTGTAAAACAAGTGGACTGGGTCAGTGTAGTTTGGCCCCTTTAAGTTGATTATTCAATTATGTAGCCACCAATTTTACACTTTCCCCTTAAGAAGTAGATGTTTCTATAAAATTTCAGTAGAGCATGTCTTGTACTAAGGCTAATGCAGAGCCTTGGCACAATGATTGTGTTGTTGCCATGTGATCCAAAGTTCACAGGTTTGATTCATGTAATCAGTCTCTTCCAAATGCAAGGTTAGGCTGCCTACTATAGACCCACGCAATATGTCTGACCTTTCCATTGACTTGTGGATAGTGGATCGTTATAAGGCTATTGTTGTAAATCAACTTTCCTAAAAGTGTAAGTTTTTAGGTGAATATATACATGAATGGTTTTATATTATATCACCAACATGCCCCCTAATGCAAGAGCTTTTTGTGCTTAAAGTGTGCGGACAATGCACATTTTCAGCTGAAATTCAACTTTTTGTTTAAAGAATAGGAGCAACAATGATTGAACTTTAGGTCACTTGGTCACAGAGGCTTTCATACCATGTCATGATTGAATTTTCCAAAAGTTTTAAGATGCATGAATGAATTTATATTTTATCTCTAACAAGTACCGTCTCTACTATAAGGGGTCAAAACAAGATTTTCTTGGCATAGGTTCTCTCAAACCTTACGTTTTTGCTGCTATATATCAATTAGCATAATTCATAGAATTTGCTGATTGGTAGGATATTGGTTTTCTCAAAGGATGCATCGGATATAGGTTTCTTTATCGTGAGGTACTAAGAGGGAGATGTGGTTTCACTCCATATTAGATAAGTAAGAGCATAAAATATCTACAAGCTGACAGTTGGGCATGAAATTGAGTTCATGATGCACTAGCATTATTTAAAGATGCAAAGATTGGCATTCACACTCCCCACTAAGTACTTTTAATTCTAATTTCCTTAATTGCCCCAATTGAAGTAATTTGTTATTAAATTTAAACTTTACTTGATTATACTTCTATTTGTGTGTTTACATTTGATTAAGGTTGATTTAGGAAATGGCATTAAAAGTAGTTAATAGGGAGTGTAAATAAACAATTGGTAGTGCCAATAGCATTACACATATTTAAAATGTTCTTTTGATCTTAGTTAATGATATGACCTCTTTGATATGAATTCATTTTACCTTAGCATAATTGTTTGTATAGATAACCTCAATATACGATTGTATTTATTCAATCTACATGGTATAATGCTTGCAGGTTTCTGAAGGAATTGATTTCTCTGATGATAATGCCAGAGTAGTTGTATCCTTATTTATACTTAAAAATCTATTGTTCACTTTTTTTGGTGGGGAAGAGATCTAGGTCTTCATCGTGGCCATGGTATATCTTGTGAGGATTGAAATAAGGAATATTCTTAGATTATTGAAATAAAGATTAGTTACTATGATCAAGAAAGCAGTCAAATTGTAGCTAGCCTATAATGGGTTTGACTACAGACGTTCCAATTTTTATTAATCAATGTCAATGTTAACTATTGATTGTACGTTCTTGACAATCTCAGATTATTGTTGGCATTCCATTTCCCAATATGTAAGACTCCTTTCTTTTCTTGTAAAATTTTCTTTAAGAAGGCATCCTACTATGGGAATACATTTCTCTGATTGCTTGAATATTATAACTTAACAGATATGATATTCAAGTTGCACTAAAGAAGAAATATAATGACACATACAAATCATCCAAAAATCTTTTGAGTGGAAGTGAGTGGTACTGCCACCAAACATTCCGAGCTTTAAATCAAGCAGCAGGTAAAGCCTGGTTATTGGTTTGATTTTGTTTTTCAGTTTTTTTTTTAGTTTATATTGATTACCTTTCATGTTCTGTAGGGCGATGTATACGGCATAGACTTGATTATGGAGCAATCATCTTATTGGGTAATTGTGCTGAACTCCCAATCATTTCAGTTATCTTTCACTTTCTATCTTGTTCCTCTCCTTTTAGGGTTCAAAATTCAGAAAATGATTCAGGGAAATCTTTGCCCCTGTTTTTTTATTTCTTGTTTTTAAATTTGGAAGGGAAGAAAGTGGAATTCACTAGGTTTTCCAGAGTACGTAATACTACACCAGTGATTGCAGTGTAAGACTGTAAGGGTATTGTTCAGGTGGGGAGGGTGTCTAGTTAATACTGCTGCTTGGGCAGAAATTTAAAACTATTTTCATTTCCATTACCTTGTTTGGAACCGATTCCTTTAAAGCATATTTTGAATTTTTCTAGACACCATACCATAGGCAAATATTCTCCAATGAACCACATAAAATTTCATGACATTTATTGATATTGTGCAACATGAAGGCACACAGTTCATTCTTGCAAACTACCTTTTTTGTTTAGAATCAAGTGAATTTTTCCCCTTCTTGTTTTTTACCGTCTTTGTAGTGCAGTTTACTCTTGAATGAAGGTATATTTGACTTTGTTCTTTGTATTACCATCAACTCTTCACTTTCAACCAACTTTTCCATCTTAACTGGTCTAATTATTCTTGTGGAGCTAGATGAACGTTTTCGGGAAGAAAGAAATAGAGCATTCATTTCAAAGTGGCTAAGAAGACCCTTGAGAGTGTATGACAGCTTTGATTTGTCTTTGGAGGGACTAAAATCATTCTTTGAGGATGCCAAGGTTTGTGGCGTGTTGGCTTAACTTGACCTTGATATAATCTGCCCTGTTCCCCTCAGGGCTTAGTGGAAAATGATTAATATATGGTCAACTTGCTGTAGGAACGGTACGGCTTGAATATAGTGCAAGGCTCACAGAATTCAGGCTTAAATGGTGATGGTGTCCAAAACAAGGATCAGAATACGAGGATCACGAGAAAGAAAAATCAGAAACTTAACAAGTCTGTTAATGGAGGTGAGAAAGAAACATCAGTGATCGAGGATAACAGCTCTTTTACCATACTAAGCTGTCAAGATCTTGCTGAGAATCAGCCATCAGCTCAAAGGAATAGTGAAAATTGTAAAGACCATATCAACCCACACTGCTGCAATCAGACAGAGCCAAGGTATTTCTTTTAATTTTTTTGGGTATATCCACCATTTTGTTATAATTGATATGATTTTTGGTAACTATACCTAATGATAAACATATCTAATTTGAGGAATTGGTGGAGTCAAATCATATTTTGGTTATATCACCAAGTTTGTTTTATTTTGGCCTCCATATTTCAAATTTCATGGACATGCAAGGGATATCAATCTTCTATTCTGTACAACTTGAAGTGCAGACCATCAAGCTGATTCGGTGATTGACTTAACAAAAAATAATTGCCTTTCACCGTGTTAGCTCATATTTAAGCATACGTACCCATGTAGTTGGGTTTGCCAAAGATTTTACATCAAAACTAAGGTGGTGATGTAGTTTTTTCTCCTTTGGGTGAATGAATTAAACTTTCAACGAACCTCTGTTGATTTTATGTTCTTTAGAAAACTGCTGCTTAGTGCTCTTGCTTCTGTTCCTCAAATATTTGTCCAGTGTATACACTAACTTAGGTCAACCTTTTAAGCATCAGTAGCTGCAACTGTTTGAGCGAGAGTTTATTCTTTACTGTGTAATATTAGGAATACAGAAGACACTAATTGATCTTAGCCTGCATGAACTATTTCTTTAAAGTTTAATATTAAAAGTAGATAATCTAAGTAGGATTTTCCCTTAAGCTTGCGCAACTTTCTATTATGTTTTGGGTGGGGATGTTTAGTGTCCTCAACTTTTGTAATACGGTACCTTAGCATCTTCCTTCTCAGCTGCATCTGGACAATAAATTTCATTTTTCTTTGGTAAAATACTTTAGATAAAAATGGTAGTTTTTTACACCATCAAATACGAATAATCTATATTTTAATGAAATAGTAACCATTTTTACATCATTACAATCAGAATACAATTACTAGTTGAAAAATATACTTCTTACAGGTTCACTGGGGAAGTATGTGTGTCAATTATACATGAAGAAACCTCCACTATCAAGGAAACCCCTTGTATAGACATTGACAGTGGTTCTGGTAGCCCTGTTTACTCTAAGGATGACAACACTGGTTCCACCATAATTGAGGCCTCTGCTCAATTTTCAGATCACTTATCAAGCATTCCAATGTCTTTCACTAATGGAAGTAAAAATTCTTCAATGGCTCAGTCTTCAATAACGGTTACTCCTGAAAAGAATGTGACTGCAAATAATATTCCAGAAATGGAATCGTCTTTGAATTTGAGTGTTAATTCTCACCACCAAAAAAGGAGAAAGCCTATGGCCACGCCATTTATAAACCTCGTTGAAGAAGAAAATTACATTGCACCTTGTGCCAGCACTCATAAATGGTACACAAAAAGCTCGGTGGATGTTAGAGAGGCAACTCATGGAACTGAATATGGTTTTGAGAGAACTTTGAAGTCAAATTCTCCTCAGTTACTGACCAGCAATCTACCTGGTTCATGTTCATTAACTGTCCCTCTACTGGACAAAAGGTTACAGATATTTTGTTCACTGTGCAAAAATCCACTGGGCCGACCTGAGCACCATCTGTATCTTACATGCTCATTAATTTCATCATCAAAAGTTCACTTAAGATCCCTTTTAAAACAGAGACCGAAAACGTGTTCTACTGATACACTAAAGAGTGTTCCCGTTATTATTACTGATTCTTCATTTGTTGATCCACGTATTTGCAATAGAATACCTAATAGTGCACCGGAACAGGGTATTTGGTGTCGAGAAGATGGGTGTGTCTTCAGCACTATTTTCTGTCCCTTCTGCAGTAATTCCAACAATTTGCTAGGAGTTCAGATCATGGCAACCGATTCATCAAATGTTCAGTTACTTGACAAGGTGGCTTTTATAACCAGCATCAGGCAACTTTGTTTCACTTGAGCTTGCATCTTAATGTCCCTTTTTGCATCTTTCTTTGCTGCTCCAGCTCCAGGTTTGTCAACATTTTCCACGGCTGTTCTTTTAATTGTATTCTTTACATACATTTCTTTCCCAGATATTGTTCTACATGGATTTTTTGGAAGTGAAGAACGATGAAAAATCAGGGAACCGTGCTTCAAAGGAAGTGGTAAGATTAAATCATATGGCTAATTTATCTTTTCCATTAAGCTAATGTTTAGCTGTTTTTCTGAGGGACAATGGCCAGCCTGTTTTCTAGCGTAATGCCGAAAACAATTATTCTATTGCTGGGAAAAAATTACGAAACTTGAATACAGCGTAAACGGAACAGAAGATATGGAACACAAAATCTTCATAAAACACTATCTTTCACTCTTTATTTTTTCCCTAATCAGTATGGACCATGAATTATTTAAATGGATTTAAGAAAGTGATTGCTGTGATCCTACTCAATAAACATCCGAATTATGTGGAGTTTGTATGTTAAATGAAGCGAAGTTTTCTCCTCACTTTGGAAATTGTTTTTCATGCATGCTGAAGTGCTGAATTTTAATATATAAATGAACTGGATATTCATCCCAAAATATATGATAATATCTTGTGAATTGCTATAGGATTTATTGCCAGTTAATGACTCTGGAATCGATAAAATTGCTCTCTTCAATTCCATTGACAAATATTCTTATCTTCCCCAACCGGGAAAATTAGAAGTCTTGAAGCCTAGAAAATCAAAGGTCAGAATTTATGTAATTATTCAAGCATTTTTGTTGATAGTATTCTTTTGTCAGAGTTGTCATTTTGTTTGTAAATGATGCAGCAAAGATTGAGAGGCTTGCCTTATGCAAAAAGCCAAAGTTGAAGGTAACATGAATTATGGTGCAGTTTTGGCAACCATTTTATGAACGCAACTTGAGGTAAGGATGTTGGTTTCTCAAAAATTGAATCAAAGAATAATTTTTTGCTTGAGTAGATTCCAAATGTAGGGGTAGTCGTTCTGAACCTTTAGTTCTTCTGCCCCGAATTGCAACTTTTTGGATTCTGATACTTAATTGATACCCATCAGCAGTAGTTTTTTTTACCCTCAGCGATTTGAGGAAGTTTTCTAGTCCTATATATAACTGGACTTCAACACAGTTGCTGATTGAGCTAAATTATCCATCTATTTATGTTATAATTTGGACGAAATACCTGTATTGATGGTTTTATTGCTTTGTCTTTAGAAGACATTTAAATTTTACATGTTCTATCCAATACAAAGATGGAGAGCTTATGGTGTTTGATATTTTGGGATTGATTTATAGCATTTTTTCCCGCCTTACAGATCTACCACAACGGCTCACTACTAGCAATACATGGACACCGAGTATGAACCAGGGTTGCCGGTCCAAGAGGATCTCAAAGTTACCACCAAGCATGACCCGTATTGCAGTGGGGAGCTTCTGTACAGCAAGTTTTTTTTTTCCTTGGAAGAAGATTGAAATAGCTAGTTATATAGTTTATAATCGTCTTTTTTTGTACAGTTTTTAGTTTTTTTTTTCCTTGCTGTACTGATGGAACTATGTTAGAATAACACGTTACAGAGTGTGCATACGGTTTTACTGTAGTCCCTCCAGGTAAATTAATATTGGCTGCAAGTTGCTGCCAAGGTAATAGACTGGTAACCTTTACATAATCATGGACTCATTTTTTTTATGTCCGTTGAAGGGATTGTTTCATAGGCCCTGAGCATGACTACAATTGAAATGTTCAAGAACGATTGCACCATTTACAAACAATCTGCACCATTGTATCCTCTATCTACTCTATCTACAAATAGATACCCATAAGTCAAATAAAAATTAAAAAGGTGTAAACGAGGGATTAATAAATTGATCGTTAGGTTGGGGGATCAATAAAAATTGGTATAATATAAATGGAAAACAACATTTACACTAATTAAGGAACATAGTAAAAATAGGTAGGAAAAATGATCAATTAATCTGTGATATAATGTTCCCAATACTTATCCTGCAAATTGTTATTTTTATTGGACTCCATTAATAAACCATTATTATGTTACAACTAGATTAGACAGTGTAATTATCGAGAGATTTGAATCCGTGTCACGAAGATATTGTAATTAATCATACAAGCAAAGTACAATAAAAAGGTATGAATAAACTCACAGAATGTTAGAAACAAATGCTTGTATGCAGAAAGAATCCGAGCCCAATGTGTGTTGTCTCTCCTAAAGACAATTTGTCCCCTCTGTTGGTGCCAAAGGAATGTGGGCAATCGTCTCTCAAGATGGAACGAATTGCGTCTCCAGAATGTGATGTCACTACCAATCCGGGGTCCCTTCGAACACAACCAAATGCGTGAGGAATCACACCTACTAAGCCTATGGCAATATGCACTAACACTATGGATGCATGGAGTAACTTAGACAAAATTCGGGTAACTTTTACTGATGGGCTACATGTATATATAGACACTGATCGGACCCGATGAACTGTCGCCAACTCGATACATTGCGACTGACGGCAACGAACAGGTACTAGTTCGATTAAAATAATTGAACGCACTGTTTCGGTTGAAAAAATTCAAAGGTCAACGAATATGACAGATAGGAAATTATGGACAATCGGCTCCAATGATAGAACAGATTACGTCTCCAAAATTCAAGCTCATCTCAAAATAAACCCTTTTGGCTTTCCCTTGATCGGGCCTATTTAAAAGTCATATGTTCTCTTTCCAATGCTTTATGATGGCTTGTAATTAACTTTTCAACTCACAACTTAGCAACATCCAACTCCTCCTTTAGCAAGGAATTTTCTGCCTGTAGCATAAACGTAGCAAAAGTAGCTTCCTCGATTTTTCTTTTAGTAATTTCCATGTCATTCTCCATCTCAAAGAACATCTCCACAACAATTTCGTCCGAAACTTTCTTTTTCTTATTTGTTTTGAAGGCTCGGCTTCTTGCTTCTCCTTTTTCAGAGCTTTAAACTCAGCTTACAACTTGTTGAGCCTATTGGTAACCTGTGCAATCTTCTTTTCTACCCAATTCTTCAACATTCGCAAGACCCTTCTAGCAATTCTTGCAATCGATGAAGTAAATTCAAAACTAGTTCATCGTTCTTATCTCGTGGGATGTATGTATGCGAAGCCTCATAAAAAGGGATACCAGCAAAATAATAAAAAACCTTTTGAGTGTCACAAGAGCTTAGCTCAGATCTTGGTTTGGATGTAGTGCCCAGTGTTGAAATATTTGCATTCACTGTGGGGGAAGTATATATTGCATCCTTTGTGGGTGATGTTCTAGAGCTACCTCATGTAGGTAAAGTAGATGCACCATTGGTTGAAACATTGCATGCTAGTGAAATGTTCAAGTCGCATATCAGCAAATCACATACTGCATCACCAGCACTTCGCGAAGTACATTGATCATCTCTACCATGGTGTAATGTAGAAAATGCTGAAAATTTTTAAATACAACGTCTGTAGTGCCAATATCTTTTCCTTTTCCTTTTCCTTTTCCTTTCAAAATATTCAGCATGTCATACAATATATTTGAGACAAGGTTTCCTTCTTCTGTATATAGGGCCTTCCTTGAAATAGCCATTTCAGCATCATCCTCACTATAGCCAAATTTAACAATATGCTTGATTGCACAATTTAAAACAACTTTCAAATTAGATAACAAGAACTCCTTAAGCTGGCCTGCAATAGGATCATTCCAATCCACAAGCTCATCCATTGTATCCATCTTAGGAACAATGACATTGAATCCCACAATATTTTTGTCTACGTACCCTCTATCTACAAATAGATACCCATAAGTCAAAATAAAAATTAAAAAAGTTGAATGAAGGATTAAGAAATTGATTATGAGATTGTAGGATCAAAGAAAATATGTACACAATAAAAATTGGTACAATGTAAATGGAAAACAACATTTACAATAATTAAGGAACAGAGTAAAAATGGACAAGGAAAATGATTAATTAATCTGTGATATAATGTTTCCAATGCACACGGTCATCCTGCAAATTGTTATCTTTATTAGACTCCAATAATAAACCATTATTCTGTTACAACTGGATTAGATGGTGTAATCACCGAGAGATTTGAATCCATGTCACGAAGATATTGTAATTAATCCTACAAGCAAAGTACAATAAAAAAAAGTCTGAACAAACTCCCGTAATGTTAGAAACAAAAGCTTGTATGCAGAAAGAATCCGAGCCCAACGTGTGTTGTCTCCTTAAGACAATTTCTCTCTTCTATCAGTGCCAAAGGAATGTGGGCAATCGTTTCCCTTGATGGAATGGATTTTGTCACCAGAATGTGATGGCACTACCAATCAGGATTCCCCTCAAACACAATCAAATGCGTGAGAAATCGTACCTACTAAGCCTATGGAAGAATGCACATGCGCTATAGATGCATGGAGTAACTTAGAGAAAATTCAGGTAAGTTTTTCTGACGGGCTACATGTATATATAGACACGAATCGGACTCGATGAACTGCCGCCAGCTCGAAACATTCTGACTGACTGCAGCGAACGGGTACTAGATCGATGAAAATAATTGAACGCATCGTTTCGGTTGAAAAAATTCAAAGGTCAATGGATATAACGGATAGGAAATTATGGACAATCTGTTCCCATGATAGAACGGATTGCGTCTCCAAAATTCAAGCTTACCTCAAAATAAACCCTTTTGGATTTCCCTTGACTGGGCTTGTTTAAAATCCATTTATTCTCTTTCCAATGCTTTTTGATGGCTTGTCATTCATTTTACAACCCACAACTTAGCAGCATCCAACTCCTCCTTTAGCAAGGAGTTTTCTTCCTGTAGCATAAACGTAACAGAAGTAGCTTCCGCAATTTATCTTTTAGTAATTTCCATGCCATTCTCCATCTCAAAGATCATCTCCACAACATTTTTCTCTGAAACTTTCTTTTTCTTATCTGTTTTGAAAAGCTCGGCTTCTTGCTTCTCCTTCTTCAGAGATTTCAACTCAGCATGTAGCTTGTTGAGCCTATTAGTAACCTGTGCGGTTTTCTTTTCTACCCAGTTCTTCAACATTCGCAAGACTTATCCAGCAAATCCCATATTGCATCACCAGCTGTTAAACAGGGTTTGACTTCGCGAAGTACAACGATCATCTCCAACATGGTGTTATGTAGCAAGTGCTGAAAATTTTCAAGTACAACGTCTGTAGTGCTAATATCTTTTTCTTTTCCCTTCAAAATTTTAGCGTGTCACGCACAATATTTGAGACATGGTTTCCTTCCTCTGTGTATAGGGCCTTCCTTGAAATTGCCATATCAGCCTTCACTATAGCCAAATTTAAAAATATGCTTGATTGCACCATTCAAAATTGCTTTCAAATTAGATAACAAGAACTCCTTAAGCTGGCATGCAATAGGATCATTCCAATCCACAAGCTCATGCATTGTATCCATCTTAGTAACAATGACATTGAATCCCACAATATTTTTGCCTACATCTCTATCTACAAATAGATACCCATAAGTCAAAATAAAAATTAAAAAAGTTAAATGAGGGATTAAGAAATTGATTGTGAGGTTGCGGTATAAAATAAAATATGTAAAAAATAAAAATTGGTACAATGTAAATGGAAAACAACATTTACAATAATTAAGGAGAAGAGTAAAATTGGGCAAGGAAAATGATCAATTAATTTGTGGTATGATGTTCCCAATGCCAACGGTCATGCTGCAAAATGTTATCTTTATTAGACTCCAATAATAAACCATTATTCTGGTACAAATGGATTAGACGGTGTAATCACCGAGAGATTTGAATCTGTGTCACGAAGATATTGTAATTAATCCTACAATCAAAGTGAAATAAAGAAAACTTTGAGTGTCACAAGAGCTTAGCTCAAATTTTGGTTTGGATGTAGTGTCTGGGGTTGAGATATTTGCATTCACTATGGAGGAAGTAGATATTGCATCGTTTATGGGTGATGTTCCAAAGCTACCTCCTGTAGGTAAAGGATATGCACCATTGGTTGAAACATAGCATGCTAGTGAAATGTTCAAGTTGCATATTAGCAAATCCCATAGTGCATCACCAGTTGTTAAATAGGGTTTGACTTCGCGAAGTACATAGATCATGTCCAACATGGTGTAATGTAGCAAGTGCTGAAAATTTTCAAATACAGCGTTCGTAGTGCCAATATCTTTTTCTTTTCCCTTCAAAATATTTAGCGTGTCATGCAAAATATTTGAGACGGGGTTTCCTTCCTCTGTGTATAGTGCCTTCCTTGAAATGACCATTTCGGCCTTCACTATAGCCAAAATTAACAATCTACTTGATTGCACCATTCAAAACTGCTTTCAAATTAGATAACAAGAACTCCTTAAGCTGGCTTGCAATAGGATCATTCCAATCCAGAACTCATGCATTGTATCCATCTCAAGAACAATGAGATTGAATCCCACAATATTTTTGCCTACGTATCCTCTATCTACAAATAGATACCCATAAGTCAAAATAAAAATTAAAAAAGTTAAATAAGAAATTGATTGTGAGGTAATGGGATCAAATAAAATATGTACACAATAAAAATTGGTACAACGTAAATGGAA